TGGCACAACACGGGCTGGCGGAATGCTTCTGGGCTCAAGATGGTCCCAAGATGACCGAAAAAGGTCCCAAGACGGCTCCAAGAGCGCTCCAAGAGGGGCCCAAGAAGCGATCTTGGGTGCCCTGACGGGGTGGCGAAAAAATATACCTTCCCTTCTTTGATCGATGACCTCGAAGATGGCTGCAAGATGGCCCAAGAAAGGCCCGAGAGGTGCCCAAGAAGAGGTCCCAAGACGGCCCCCAGGGCGCTACAGGAAGGCCCAAGAGGGCTCCAAGAGCGCCCCAAGAGGGCCCGAAAGGCTTTTAAGGCCCGCAGAGGACGAGGAGAGGCGAGGCAATTCTCATCATGGTCGTTCGCGCCGTGGGCTCCAGACCCTCCCTGGACCTCCCCAAACGGCTCTCGTCTCGCACGCGGAATCCAAAGCTGAAGCTAGAACAGCAAAGCTGCCATGTAACACAAACCGCAATGCAACAAATTGCAATGCAAAAAAATAAAATGCAAAACAAACTGTACCGCAACAGAACTGCAATGCAAAAAAGCGTGCAATTCTGATCATGGTCGTTCGCGCCGTGGGCTTCATACCCTCCCTGGACCTCCCCAAACCGCTCCCGCCTCGCACGCGGAGTCCAAAGCTGAAGCTAGAACGGCAAAACTGCCATACAAACAACACTGCAATGCAAAACACACTGCAATGCAAAACAACTGTAGTTCTGAACATGGTTGCGCCGTGGGCTTCAGACCCTCCCTGAACCTCCCCACGCTCTCGCCTCGCACGTGGAATCCAAAGCTGAAGCTAGAACGGCAAAGCTGCAATGCAAAACAAACTGCAATGCAAGAACAATGCAATGCGAAACTGCGTGTAATTCTGATCATGGTGGTTGGCGCCGTGGGCTTCAGACCCTCCCTGGACGTCCCCAAACCGATCTCGCCTCGCACGCGGAGCCCAAAGCTGAAGCTAGAACGGCAAAACTGCAATGCAACAAAAACTGCAATGCCAACAAAAACTGCGATGCAACAAAAACTGTAATTCGGATCATGGTGGTTGGCGCCATGGGCTTCAGATCCCCGCAGGACGTCCCCAAACCGCTCTCGCCTCGCACGCGGAATCCAAAGCTGAAGCTAGAACGGCAAAGCTGCAATGCAAAACAAATGCAATGCAAACACAACTGCAATGCACAACAAACTGTAGTTGGCGCCATGGGCTTCAAAGCCCTCCTGGACCTCCCCAAACCGCACTCGCCTCGCACGTGGAATCCAAAGCTGAAGCTAGAACGGCAAAGCTGCAATGCAAACAACAACTGCAATGCACCAAACAATGCAATGCGAAACTGCGTGTAATTCTGATCATGGTGGTTGGCGCCGTGGGCTTCAGACCCTCCCTGGACGTCCCCAAACCGATCTCGCCTCGCACGCGGAGTCCAAAGCTGAAGCTAGAACGGCACAGCTGCTATGCAACCAGCAACTGCAATGCCACCAGACATGCAATGCAACAAAACCACTGTAATTCTGATCATGGTGGTTGGCGCCGTGGGCTTCAGACCCTCCATGGACATCCCCAAACCGCACTCGCCTCGCACGCGGAGTCCAAAGCTGAAGCTAGAACGGCAAAGCTGCTATGCAAACAGCAACCGCAATGCCACCAACCATGCAGTGCAACAAAACCACTGTAATTCTGATCATGGTGGTTGGCGCCGTGGGCTTCAGACCATCCCTGGACCTCCCCAAACCGCGCTCGCCTCGCACGCAGAATCCAAAGCTGGAGCTCGAACGGCAAAGCTGCAATGCAAGAAACACCTGCAATGCAACAAACACTGCAATTCTGATCATGGTCGTTCGCGCCCTGGGCCTCAGTCAGACCCTCCCTGGACCTCCCCAAACCGCTGTCGCCTCCTCGCACGCGGGATCCAAAGCTGAAGCTAGAATGGCAAAGCCGCAATGCTAACAAAACAACAATACAAAACAAACTGCAATGCAAACAGACACTGTAATTCTGATCATGGTGGTTGGCGCTATGGGCTTCAGACCGTGTCTGGACCTCCCCAAACCGCTCTCGCCTCGCACGCGGAACACAAAGCTGCAATGCACCAAAACTGCAATGCACACAAGACTGTAATTCTGATCATGGTGATTGGCGCCATGGGCTTCAACGCCTCCCTGGACCTCCCAAAACCGCTCTCGCCTCGCACGCGGAATCCAACATTGAAGCTAGAACGGCAAAGCTGCAATGCAAACAATTATCCCGACAAAACAACCTAACAGCGATGTGTATAAGCATATCTGGAAGCATTCCCCTTACGATTCATGTGAGAATCCAGTTGTAGAATTCTGCTGTTCTCGCAGTCGCAATCGCATTTGCAATGACAGTCGCAGTGACAACGGCCTTATGATCCAATGGAATCCTAAGGATTCCTAGGGATTCCTAAGGTATCCTTAGGCATCCTTAGGAATCCATAGGAATCCTTAGGAATCCTGATGACTAGGGATTCCTAGGGATTCCTAAGGATTCCTAGGAATCCCAAGGATTCCGAAGGATTCCTGAGGATGCTTAACTATGCCTACGGATTCCTAAGGATGCCTACGGATTCCTAAGGATTCCTACGGATTCCTACGGATGCCTCAGCCTGCCTCAGCTTCAGCCTCAGCCTCAGCCTGCCTCGGCATGCTTCAGCCTCAGCCTCAGCCTGCCTCGGCTTCAGCCTCAGCCTGCCTCAGCCTCAGCCTCAGCCTGCCTCGGCCTCAGCCTGCGTCAGCCTCAGCCTCAGCCTCAGCCAGCCTCAGCCTCAGTCTCAGCCTGCCTCGGCTTGCCTCAGCCTCAGCCTCAGCCTGCCTCGGCCTCAGCCTGCCTCGGCCTCAGCCTGCCTCAGCCTCCCCTCCTCCCCCCTTCCCCCCCCCCACCCATTCAGCCTCACCTTGTCTCAGCTTCGGCCTGCCTCGGCCTCATCCTCAGCCTCAGCCTCAGTCTCAGCTCAGCCTGTCTCGGCCTGAGCCTGCCTCGGCTCAGCCTCAGCCTGCCTCAGCCTCAGCCTGCCTCAGCCTCAGCCTCAGCCTGCCTCGGCCTCAGCCTGCCTCAGCATCAGCCTCAGCCTCAGCCTCAGCCTCAGCCTCAGCCTCAGCCTGCCTCGGCCTCAGCCTCAGCCTGCCTCGGCCTCAGCCTCAGGCTACCTCAGCCTCAGCCTCAGCCTGCCTCAGCCTCAGCCTGCATCAGCCTCTTCCTCAGCCTGCATCAGCCGCAGCATGCCTCAGCCTCAGCCACAGCCTCAGTCTCAGCCTGCCTCAGCTTCAGCCTCAGTCTGCCCGGCTTGCCTCAGCCTCAGCCTCAGCCTGCCTCGGCCTCAGCCTCAGCCTGCCTCAGCCTCAGCGTCAGCCTCTCAGCCTCAGCCTGCATCAGCCTCAGCCTCAGCCTGCCTCAGCCTCAGCCTCAGCCTGCCCCAGCCTCAGCCTGCCTCAGCCTCATCTTCAGCCTGCCTCGGCCTCAGCCTGCGTCAGCCTTAGCCTCAGCCTGCCTCAGCCTCAGCCTGCCTCAGCCTCAGCCTCAGCCTGCCTCGGCGTGCCTCAGCCTCAGCCTCAACTTGCCTCGGCCTCAGCCTGCCTCGGCCTCAGCCTGCTTCAACTCGGGCATTCAAAATATGGCACAGGACTTGTGTTCTGGGAATACACGAAGAACACGAAGTGGCCCACCGTTGGCTCCGGGCAATTGAAATATAGTACAGGAATGGTGTTCTGGGAACACGAAGAACACAAAGTGGCCTACAGTTGGCTCCGGGCATTCAAAATGTGGGAATGGTGTTCTGGGAACACGAAGAACACGAAAAGGCCTACAATTGGCTCTGGGCATTCACAATGTGGCCTGGGAATGGTGTTCTGGGAACACGAAGAACACGAAATGGCCTACAGTTGGCTCTGGGCATTCAAAATGTGGCCTGGGAATGGTGTTCTGGGAACACGAAGAACACGAAGTGGCCTACAATTGGCTCTGGGCATTCAAAATGTGGCCTGGGAATGGTGTTCTGGGAATGGATTCGAAAAGATTCCTAAGAATTCCTAAGGATTCCTGGGGCTGCCGGTTTTGTCCGGATCCCGCCCAGACCCCCCTGTGGCGTCAAGATGTGCTCTCTTTTGACCCCACTAGAAGCCTATCAGCACAGGCTGTTAGGTAACATGCTTTCTCGCCTCGCACGTGGAATCCAAAGTTGAAGCTTAAGCTCAAGCTTCAACCTTTCGTTTTGATGCGTGGCATCCCGCCGTGCGCTACAATGGCTAAGAACTTTCTATCCCAAACCAAACTTCTCATCCCCCTTGTCATCGTCCGTTCATTCCCTCCTCCTTTCCTGCCTTCTCCTTCCTCCTCCTCCTCCTCCTCATCTTCCTCGTGCCGCATGTCTTCTTCCTCCTCTTCTTCTCCCCCTCCTCCTCCTCCTCCTTCTTCTCCACGTCCTCCTCGTCCTCCTCATCCTCCTCCTCCTCCCTCTCTTGCTCCTCCTTCTCTTCCTCCTCCTACTCTGAAGATGGTCCCTAGAGGTCGTGCATGGCTCAAGATAGCCTCTGGCAGACCTCCAAGATGCCTCAAGACAGCCTCAAGATGGCCCAAGATAGATGAGCATGGCTCAAGATAGCCTCCAAAGGCCTCTAGCCGAGCATGGCTCAAGATAGCCTCCGAGAAGCCTCAAGAAAGCCTCCGACGTGTCTAGATGGGTTGGTTTGGATACGCGAAGCGTCAGGAATTTGTCTGAGCCGCAAGAAAACGAGGCCGACATCGGACGACAAGGCTCATTCCTTCGACATGCGACAGCCACTCGGACTTGGCCGAAAGTGAACTACGCCGCGCAGCGCCAAGGAACGTGCTCAGCCCGCCGTGCGCACGCGCAACACTGACCAGGCGGGGAGGGGCGAAGGCCGTCCTCAGCGGCCCCGGCTGCGGCTACGGCTCCGCTGCGCTTGATCATGCATCCCCCCGCAACCAGGGCCGCCACCGCAGCCCATACATCCGCCGCCGCAGCCCACATTGCCGCAGCTGCCTGTGCAGCCGCCCCCACAACCCGTGTTGCCGCAGCCGCCTGTGCAGCCGCCCCCACAGCCTGTGTTGCCGCAGCCGCCTGTGCAGCTGCCCCCACAGCCCATGTTGCCGCAGCCGCCTGTGCAGCCGCCTCCGCAGCCCATGTTGCCGCAGCCGCCTGTGCAGCCGCCTCCGCAGCCCATGTTGCCGCAGCCGCCTGTGCAGCCGCCCCCGCAGCCCATGTTGCCGCAGCCGCCTGTGTAGCCGCCCGCACAGCCCATGTTGCCGCAGCCGCCTGTGCAGCCGCCCCCACAGCCCATGTTGCCGCAGCCGCCTGTGCAGCCGCCGCCCCCGCAGCCCATGTTGCCGCAGCAAGCCCCGCAACCCATGTTGCCGCACCCGCCACAGCCGCCACAGCCTCCGCCGCAGCCGCCACCGCAACCCATGTTGCCACAGCCGCCGCAGCAGCCGCCGCCACCCGCCCCGCAGCCCATGTTGCTGCACCCACCGCAGCCTCCGCAACCTCCGCAACCCATGTTGCCGCACCCGCCGCAACCCATGTTGCCACAGCCGCCGCAGCCTCCGCCATAGCCGCCCCAGCCCATTTGCTCCGGGTAGCCGCCGCAGCCCATGCCCATGGGCATCATGCCGCCCATCATGGGCATCATGCCGCCCATCATGGGCATACCCATCATCATCGGCATGCCCATCGGCATCATGCCGCCCATCATCGGCATGCCCATCATGCCCATCGCTGGCATGCCCATCATGCCCGCGCCCACGCTGGCGCCCGTGTTCTCCTCCTCCTGAGCAGCCGCGGCCGCGGCAGCTGCGGCCGCAGCTCCGCCGTCCGTACTGTCTTTGGCCTTCTTGGCCTCCGCTGCGAGTAGCTCTGCGCTCACGGGTCGCTCCACCTTCTCAACCACTTCGCATTCCTCGATGAACGCGTCGATCAGCTTCCTGTTGCCCTCCCGAGCAATGATCTCGCCGGCACTATTTAAGCGGACACAGTCCTTCAGCATCACGTATGACTCCCGATTGTCGCCGCCCACTCGCTTCTCCATGATCGACCCCTCGTAATCGAACCTCTCCTCCACGCCCGGGGACTTCTTCTCGACGTAGCGGACGAGCACCAGAGCCCCCTGCCTCAGGCCCTTCAGCGCCATCCTCCTCTGACTGGTCCCCTTCCCGCCGCGCGGTGGGGCTCCAGGCTGCCCGCCGCAGGGCCCGAACATTGCGCCGCCCGCCGGCCCCCCCCCCGCGCGGTCCGCCAAGTCCGGCGGGGCACCCGCAGCGATCTGGTGAGGCGCGCTCGCGGCGGCGAGGCCTTCGCCCCGCAGCTCCAGAGCCGAGAGGGCTTCACAGCCGAATGGCTGCGGACAGGGGGCGACTGGGGGGCGAGCGGCGGCGAAGCAGAGCGGCTGCAGAGAGGGGCCGAGGTAGGGGGAGGAAGGAGGCTCACCGTGGAGAGCCGTGGCTCTGATGGGGGCCGCAGCTCACGTGCTCGTGCTTCGCGCCCCGCCTCTCGAGACCCTTCCCGCGCCCACGGGCAAGCAGCAAAACTGCTCGGGATGAAGGGTACAGTCGGGGCGTTGACCTAAGGAACCCTAAATAAGGAACGAGGCCCCTTTTCTCCATAAGTTAAACTTCGATTTCCGATCGAAAACATAAGGAAAACCTGAGGCAAGCTGTGAAACACTTAAGGAACGCGGAGCCCCTCCCAAACCAAAAGGGTTCCTTCTTCAGGGCCCCGGCTGTACGATCGGGAACTTTTGCACAGCATGCCGCCGCGGCGGCCCGGGCGACACACCACCCCCTGCGAGCGGGCAGCGGGTCGCTCCGCCCCGCAGGGCGGGAGGCTCGGCAAGGCTGGGGACGTGGACGCCCCGGGCCCACGAAGCGGATGGCGTGTCGCGCCGAGGCTCGGTGGGCCAGAACTGGCAGAGCGACGCGCTACCCCAAAGCTGCCGACCGAAGGCGCTGAGGCAAGCTCCTGGGTATCCCGAACCTGCCTCTCTCACGACCCCTCTCCTTCGCGCCGGCCTTCGCCCCCCCACCCCTTTGCCCGGACTCTCCGACGTCCCGGCGGCAAAATGTCGTTGAATTCTCTTTTCCCAAAAATAGTCCGCCGGCCCCCCTGCGGGGCCATCAGGCTCCGCGGCTTAGGCTTGCTGCTCCCTGCTACAGTTCCAGTTTCCAGTCTCCTATGTTACAATTCTGTGTTCTGCTTCCTAGTGTGAATTGTTGAAATCCGCGCGCGTGGGGGGAGCCGAAACGGGCCATGGTTACCTTCAGCTGAGAAGACCTCAGAATTTCTCGGGGGTCCTGGGACACGTAAAATTTATCCCGGCAAAGCAACCTAACAGCGATGTGTAGAAGCATATCTGGGAGCATTCCTTTTGAGATTCATGTAGGAGTCCTGTTATAGAATTCTGATGCCTTCGCAGTCGCAGTCGCATTCGCAATGGCAATCGCAATGACAACGGCAGTCGCAGGTACAGCCGCAGTGGCAATCCCAGTAGTTGCAGTAGCAATAGCTACAGTAGCAGCAGCAACAGCAGCAACAACAGCAGCAGCAGCAGTACATACAGATGTATAAAAGTACTACATAAAAACATACATATGTATACATATTAAAACTTCCTGGATCCCCGCAACTGAGGCTCCAGAGGCCAGAGGCCGGAACCGCTGAGAAAAACCTTGCGTATCCTTCCTCGAACTCCTCCTTCCTCCTCCTCCTCCTCCTCCTCCTCCTCGTCCTCCTCCTCCTCCTCCTCCCTCTGAGCACACCGTGGCGCTCGACAGGAGGCATCTCTCCTCCTCACTGCTCATGGGCTTTCGGATGCATCAGCCTGCCTCAGCGTCTGCCTCAGCCTGCCTCAGCCTCAGCCGCAGCCGCAGCCTCAACCTCACTTGAGTTCCCCCATATCAGGCGTGGACCCGCGGCACCCCCGACTGACTTTCCCCATATCAGGCGTGCACCCGCGGCCCCCCCGACTGAGTTCCCCCATATCAGGCAAGCACAAGTGGCACCCGTCAGCTGAGTTCCCCCATATCAGGCGTGGACCCGCGGCACCCCCGACTGAGTTCCCCCATATCAGGCGGGCACCCACGGCACCCGCGACGGAGTTCCCCCATATCAGGCGCGGATCCCCGGTTTTCCCCGGCATCCCCCGGATCCTGCCCAGACCCCCCTGGAGAATCAGGATGCTCTCTTTTGACCCCACTAGAAACCTATCAGTCTTCGCTGTTAGGTAATAAGTGAGATCTGCGCCCCCGAAGCCATAATCCCTTATAGATTGCGCCGTATTCGCGCCCCCAGGGCCACAATACTTAGTAAGTTCAACAGTATTCGCGTCCCCGAGGCCATGAACCCTTGCAGATCATCCTTTGTTCGCGCTCCCGAGACCATGATTCCTAATAGATTATGGACTGTTCGCGTCTCCGAGGCCGAGGCAATACTCTTTCGTAAAGTACACAATGACAGTATTTGCGTCCCCGAAGCCACGATCCCCAGTCAATTCCGCGTTTTTCGCATCCCCGAACTCACAAACGCAGTGTTCGCGTTTTCGAGGCCACACTCCTTTATGAACCACACCCAAGACGGTACAAGAGGCCTCCGAGATGGCCCAAGAGCACTCCAAGGCGCCCAAGATGGTCCAAGAGGCTCCCAAGAGGCCCCCAAGAGCGCTCCAAGAGCACTCCCAGGAGGGGCCCAAGAAGCCAACATCTGCAATTTTCCTTAGGTTTTTCGTTGATGTAGGCAAACTCATATCTCCAGTGGCCCCCGTTCGGAGTTACGACGCTGCTTCACGACGGCGCCCAGGCCTCACAATACATCTCTTGTATGCCCAATTCTCCGAGAGAGGGGCTGGCGGCAGGGGGCGAAGCCCTGGCGGATTATTATCATACCTACCGGTGTGCTCTCGTCCCCTGGCCTTCGCCTGCCCTGGCCTCCCGCCTGGCCTCTCGCTTGGCCTTCGTGGTGGCCTCCATGCCCTGGCCTTGCGATCCCGTCCCACCAGCCCCTGCCTCCCTAGCCGCCCCCTCCAGGGCTTATTTTCGTGTCGTGTCGTTCGTCGTCCCTGGCCCCAGAACCTCGCCCCCTGGCCTCCTCCTGCTCTGGCCTCCCGCTTGGACTCCATGCCCTGGCCTTGCGATCCCGTCCCACCAGCCCTGGCCTCCCTGGCTACTCCCTCTGGGGGCTATTTTCGTGTCGTGTCGCTCGTCGTCCCTGGCACCACTCCTCCCGCCTGGCCTCCCGCTTGGCTTCCCTCTTGGTCTCCATGCCTTCCTCAGGACCCGTCCCACAAGCCCCGGCCTTCCAGGCCGCCCTCTGCAAGGCCAATTTTTCGTGCCGTGTCGTCCGTCGTCCCTGCCCCGGGACCTCGCCCCCCTGGCCTCCTCCTGCCCTGGCCTCCCCTCCCCCTTGGCCTCCAAGCCCTGGCCTCGGCGTCTCGTCCCACCAGCCCTGGCCTCCCTGGCCGCTCCCTCCAAGGCTTACTACCATACCTACTGGTGTGATCTCGCACTGCACTACTTCGTCGCATTTTCGTGCCGTGTCGTCGTTCCTGGCCTTCCTGGCCTACCTAGTGGCCTCCCTGCCCTGTCCCCAGGACCCCGCCCCCCTCCCCCCCCCCCCAGCCCTGGCCTCCTCCTCTCCTGGCGTCCTTGCCCCCTCCCCCCTGGCCTCCCTGTTGGCCTCCCCCCAAGCCCTCTCGGCCTCCCTGCCCTGGCCTTGGAGCCCCGCCCCACCTGCCCTGGCCTCCGTGGGCGCCCCTATCCAGGGTACATTTTCGCGTCGTGCCGTCGTCGCTGGCCCCCCCTGCCCTGACCTCCCTGCCCTGGCCCTGGCATCCCGCCCCCACAGCACTGGCCTCCTCCTGCCCTGGCCTCCCTGGTCCCGCTCTTGGCTCCCCGCCCTGGCCTCGTTGGCCGCCCCCTCCCGGGCTTTTTTTCGTGTCGTGTCGTCGTCCCTAGCCTCCCTGCCCTGGCCTCCCTGGTGGCTTCCCAGCCCTGGCCCCGGGACCCCGCCCCCCCAGCCCTGCCCTCCTCCTGCCCTGGCTCCCCCTTGGCCTCCATCTTGGCCATGGGACTCTGGCCCCCCCCAGCCCTGGTCTCCTCCTGCCCTGGCCTCCCTGGCCTCCCTCTTGGCCTCGCTGCCCTGGCCTCGGGACTCTCGATCCCGCCAGCCCTGGCCTGGTCCCGGGATCCCGCCTCCCCAGCCCTGGCCGCTTCCTTCCCTGGCCTCCCTCCTGGCCTCGCTGAGCTGGCCTCGGGACCCCGTCCCACCCCCCCGGGCCTCCCTTGCCGCCCCCCTCCAGGGTCTCGCGTCGTCGTCCCTGGCCGCCCCGCCCTGGCCTCCTCCTGCCCTGGCCTCCCCTCCTGGGTCTCCCTCTGGGTCTCCCTGCCCTGGCCTTGGGATCCCGTCCCGCCAGCCCTGGCTTCCCTGACAACAGCAGCATCGGCTCCCGCCGGAGACTTCCTCACAGCTCCTTCGGCATCGCGCTCTCGTGCGGGACTCCCCTGCCATTTATGCAAGACCCGCGCCCTCCCGCCCGACTCCTTCGTGTTTGTTGGAAGCGCCGAGCCCTCGACACTCAGGAATCACGCCCTCGCGCTGGAAAGCGTCACGATTTACTTGGGAGTCGCGCTATCGTTCGAAACTTCCTCGCGATTCATGCAAGACTGACGCTTCAACGACCCACCTGCTCGACTCGGCCATCTGGGCCCGCCCGCCCGACCCGCCCGTTAGGGTCCGCCCGCCCGACCCGTCCGTCCTGCCACGTGTTTTCCTGCCCCTGACCCCTATCCTATGCATCTCTCTCGTGCTCCGTGCTTCTACCTCCACCTTGTCCCTTCCCTCCTCCCTCCTTTCCCGTGTTTCAGGGGCTGCGACAACTGCACCTGGCATGTCAGGAAAACATACTCCCAAAGGGGTACGCTCGAAGACGAAGAGGGCGGGTATCGAGGGTTTGAGCCATACATGCTGAATGGCACGCGAGCAGATAAGAGCAAAACATCCTAACATTGAATCGTGATTGCGAAACAACTCTTATTGTTGGACCCACTACATCCGCCCTGGCACTCTCGCCACGGCGCCGGCTGCCACTCGTTTGAATTGAGGCTCACGCTTAAGCGTTTCGGGGTTCCACCCAAACTGGCCTCCCAACAACAAGAACAATAGTAACACTAAGAAGAGCAACACCAACACCAACACCAGCAACAACAACACCACCAGGACCAACACCAACAACATCAATAACACTACCAGCAACAACCACAACCGCAACCACAACGACAACCACACCAACACCAACACCAACAACAACAATCACAGCCACAACCACAACCACAACGACAACGACAACAACAACGACAACAACGGCACCAACAACAACGACACCGACAACAACAACAC